GTGGGTGTGGGTGTGTGTTTTCGCTTTATAGACATCCACGGCTCGATTTTCACGACACATCGACACCTGGACGGACACTCACACACCCAAATCCTGCGTATGAGTATGTGCGTGAATGCGGGTGTCGGTGCTGGTGTCGCATGTGGATATAGCTGTGGGTGTTGCAGCGGGTGTTAGTGCGGCTGCCGCTGTAGCTCTGAGCGTAGGCGGGGATATTGTGTAGAGGTGAGGTGGGTGAGAATCTAGTGTGCTTCTATCCCTCATATCCTGAATCACTGCCACCTGCACCTTATCATGAGGCCACATCCAGATGCACCCACATCATATTCTACGAAAGCACTGAAGTCTAGAGCTTGTTCGCTTCATAGATGTATGTTCAGACTGTGGCTGTGGATGTGGGTAAACTGTGGTATTTTGAGCGGGGCTGTCGGCGTAGACCTGTGTGTGGGTATGGCATAGGATTGTGACGGGACGGAGGGTGTAGGTGGCGGAATGGAGATAAGGATGTGGTGTAGGGTGAGTTCGGGTGAGGATTTTAAGTTTGTATGTACCACTAAAATCTCTAATATCAGCCGCTCACACCGAACCATGAGGCGCAGCCCAGATGCACCCACAGCATATTTCACCGAAACACTCGCATCTACAGACTCTTCGCTTCATAGATGTATGTGTAATAAAAAAGAATAAAAGAAATATCAACAATTACTAGGATATGGTGACTAAATGTGGTGGGTAAGCGATACACTTGAAAATAATTGGCAACTTATAGTTTGAATTACTTATGCATTTTAATTTAACATGTCGTGAAATCATTTCGTCTTCTCACAACAGCTTGGCACCTCATGTTGAACATCGAACTAATTTCACATATCCTTTTAATAGCTTTCTAATGGTTTACTCACCAAAGTAATATCACGAAAAAGCTTCGTTGATGATTTTAAGGTGTAGTCGTTAGTTGGAAATTTCGCAACGTGAGCACTTTGTGTTTTTTTCAAATGTTTTGTTTTATGGTTACGATAAGATAAGTTACACTGTTTCGTTTCTATGTTCTTTGCCTTCGTTTCTTTTTTCGGTTGTTTTTTTTGTTTCTTTTGTGAATTCTTTTTAAATGGGCACTCCATTGAGGAGGGCTGCGCATAGCAACTTCGTAACATGAACAATATAGATGAAAATCTAATCTATTTTGTACAATTCAATAGACAAAATAATCTTGATTCCCGTATCCTACAAGATGAATCAAAAGACTGTAAAATGATTACTACTATGTCCAAACCAACTTATTAATGTCTTAATTTTATATTTAGATAAATATAATTCATATCACACATATCATAACATCTATATTATGAAGCGAGACATATGAATAGTTTAATGATGAACCAGCGTATAATTATCGTCGGCTGAAAATCTCCAGTATCTTTTCAATTTTTCTTAATAATCATTTACTGCTCATTAATAAGTTTTCATTATTTGTAGATATGGATAAGCCTCATATTTTTCCGTAAAAGAAAATATTTTAGGACAAGTGATGTAGAAAAGTACCAAAATTGTTGATTAATTTGATTGGGAAAGAAATATGCGATAATGTTTTTAAAATATCTTCAATAAATTGACTCAAATTATTTTTACGTACAGATTTCACTGCATGAAATCATTCCAGCGAAAACTCTTCCTACAATAATTATGATTGTTTTCCATTAGATACCAGTTTCTTTTAGCTTCTGCTAGAACAATGCTTATTCCAAAAATAATTCTATTAAAATTAGATTGTAATTACATAATCAATTGAAAAGGAATCCATTTCTTATGATTATAATCGATTTTCTAAATTCTCATCAGATTTTTAAAATAGTTAATTATTATTTTCATTATAGATTAAAATGTCAATCGCATCAAATTGGATTGAGTGATTTTTCAATCCATTATAATGTTTATGGAAATAAAACATGTTTTTTCTTGAGTTTTGATTGAAGAACCCAACATTTTTATAAGGATTTTCAAACTCCTCAGCTTAACAAATAGTAAATACAATAGTATATCAACTTTCGATACACTTCCTAACATTGGACAGACGATATCGATTGATAATTTCCTGCGCACGGCAAAATGCTGATAAGATAGACTAGGAAGAAATAATTTTTTCCATTCACCAAAAATCGGATTTTTCAAAAATGATGATCGATTATAATTTCGTTTTCGTTGCGAAAAATTTGTATTTATCATTGTGATTAATTGCATAAAAGTTTGAAATTGTTATCAATTTTAATTGGTAAAATATTTCACTGGGATATCAACGCTTCGAAAGTCAATGATTACTTTAAATCGAATGATCTGTTCTATCGATAATTTGCAAGGAATTGACGATGGATGCGAGGGAAACTTATGTCCAAATCGAAATTCATTGTTTTATTTCACTTGATTCAATTGTTTTGGTAGTTATTCTGAGTTTTGCTATCGAATTCTAAATAAAAGTAAAAGCAAACGTGGACAACAAGAAACTTTATGAATATTAATTGTCAGTACTCCAATAGCTAATTTTGCGAAAAAACGTGTCAGAAAACATTTAAGCTTTTATTATTACACGGTGAGTTTGTTGTAGTATTGTTAGTTTATCTGAAACAGAATCATTTACCAAAACAAAAATTAATTACAAAGGAATTTCGCAGCAACAACTTCTCGAAATGGCGCTTATAACGAATTTAGAGAAAAGACTTGAATTGATGAATTATTTTTACTAGTGCCGATTATTTTGCAACATATTGGATCTATAGATATTTTTAAAGAAAAAACAACGTTGAGTAAGTTGTCCAGTTTCTTATTAGACAATATCAGCGAGCTGTGACTACAAAGACTCATTAGATATTAATGTATTTATCGGTTCAGTATATATTGCTCTTATCTTCGACAAAATATGCAAAGGGAGCATGGGTGGGTGTGGAGTGTGTTTTTTCTAATTCAACAGCCACCCATGCCCACACCGCAGATTCGCACACCACAACAACAACCTTCCAACACCTTAATTTTTTCAAATTATTGAATGTTTTATTTTGATAAACAGAATATTTGTAACAAAAAAAAATGAAGCAAACATCAATGAAGATTATTTTAAGATTTTCTATTCTTCTCTTTATGTTGATGGAATTTGTGGAGCTAAAGCAATATCATTTGTTGCTAGAACTTCTTTGAAATCATCAACCAGTTTTTGTGTCAACCTATGATAAACACGATGATGATCTCATAAATGATATTTTAGTACATAAATTGAAACTATTCGACGTCGACATGGTACACATGCTATATATGCTTGACTATACCCTAGTCTATTAATTCATCCATTAATAAAACGACATGGAACTCTATAAAAATGATCAATTACATCTTTATTTTTATCAAACAATTTTGTTATCCTAGGATCTTGATTCTCAGCAACAGCTTGTGCCAAACGTAGAGCATGAACATTTTTTAATTTATGCTTTCTAATGAAATGATAATATAATATGAATAGACAATTTTTTCTCAATTCACAAAATTCAATAGAACGATTCGCTTTAGTAAAACCATATACTCCATCAAATGTTAATGAACATACATCAAAAATCCTTCTACAGAATTTTCGTTCACGTTTCTTTTGTTCTACATTTACATGTTGATCCTAAAAAAAACTTAGTGAATGTTTAAATATCATGCAGAAATGATTGCATAGAAAATAAAACTAATTTAGATGTATATAACGACTGTGATCTTTCGACTACTTCATTTCGTATTTATATAGTGATAATTATTTTTATCTCAGTAGGTGTTGCTGTTTCACTAAAATAGAAAGAAAAATATGCAATCAGTGTTGGAATTTTTTCTAATAAAAAAGAAACTGACTCTAATGAAATAGTATCAATAAAATCACGATTGGTATACGTTGAATTTCTCTCAGCTTAAGCCAATCATACTTATTTTTCCTTGTCAAATTAGAAAAATTTCACTTACTTTTTGAGATTTCAACTTCTTCTCGTACATCTAAACATATAAAAATGATATATTGTGAAGGATTTGTTTTTATTCTACGAGAGAACTACACGAACTGATATCTACAATTTAAGCTTAGCAATAAAAACTCGCCAAAACCAGTACAAGCTTGAAAGTAGTCGTGTCCATGAGTCGAGTTATGACCGATTTAGTGAATTTTCGGTCCGTCTTTCGGTGTTTATTCAAAAATGAAATAACCGAATTTCATTCATTGATTAATTGAATAACATTTCGGATAACCTGAAATCTGTAGCGAAAAAAAAACAATGCTCATTTATCAAGATATTAAATTTGCAATACATAGACACTAGTCATAAACCATCCGAAGAAAATCGAGTTTACTCGGAAATTCAATATCTCGATGAATGAACTTTTTTTTCTAGCTCAAACTTTCAGGTTGAAAAATCAGTAAGAGTCATAACTTGGTTCATTAGCTAGAACTCTTTTCTACTTTTACTAAAAATTTTTTGTAATATCAATATGAGTTCAAATGGCGATTAATAAGTTCCGCTAATTTCGTCGTTAAATACCGGTGTTACAGTCACATGTATCACTCCTTGACTCATCGGTATTTGTTTATTCATTTCGCATTCTTTGATGCTTTATTTGTCTCTATATATCTCTCCCTATACTTGGTGAAGGGGAGACAATCTGGAAATAAACGAACATCGAGAAGATACAGGGAAACCTCTAATATTTGGTGCCGTGACCGGCTTTCTTTGTGTGCTTTACTCCAAGAAAGTGAACCATTGTATTCATTCGTTGGTATTGTCGTCGCAATTCTCAGATTCAAGGCATAGCACATATCAGCAACCAACAAACAATATGTCACAACGTTTCGATCAATTGGATACTGTTTGCTTTGACTGTATTTACATGCATACGTACAAGATCAATCCGTGTTCGCATACCGTTTGTATCACTTGCTTTAATGCAGCAATTACCAAAAAGATTCGGTTACAGCAAGAAACGTTTATTTGTCCCCGATGTGCTGACTTACACGATCGTCGAAATCTTCTTGAACAGCTTACCGAACAGAATCCTTATCATCAAAACCGTAAAGCTGCACCTGTCATATCACGAAAACAACTTTCGACCCTTTCGTTGATTTTACAGTATGATTGTAGAAATATCGCTCCACGAATCGATGAGGCACTTAAAGACATTACTGATTTAAACGAACGAAAAAGAGTCCAAAAAGTTTTATGGAAAAACTGGTTTCTGTTCATTCAACCAGTCGAAACAAAAAAAGTTGACAAATTGCTTCGACGACAACGCAGTCAATATGAATATCATCACTGTCACAAAGGTGCCTACATTAAATCCAAAGAAATTTTTTCCGATACTGAACAGCTACAAGACACTGTTGTAATCACAGCTGAAGCTGAATCGAACTCACTGTGGCCTGATGGAACCGAATCATGGCATATACATGAAATAAAATCGCAACGAGAATTGTTCATCGAACAAGCTCCTCAAGAAAATCTATCAATTCAACAGAAAAATATCGAAGCTGGATCTGATGTATTTTGGCCCGTAGGCACTGAATCGTGGCATATTCACGATATAAAACCACAACGATCAATATTTACCGAGAAATTTAGTTCTGAACACTCTTACGTTCCAAATCCAATTGAACTTGAGAACAAAAGCTCCGATCTCAAGCAATTGCTTGAATACGAACAAAGCTTTTTCTGTGATCGACAATCACAATACGGTATTCTACCTGAAAATCAACACTCACTGCCAGAACCGGCATTCAAACCGAATCGTTGCTGTGAATCGAAATTTCAAATTCAAGAACAGATTCTATTATTTTCACCTCTTCATAAGCCATGCACACGATCTAATTATTGCGTTCGTGGTCGATCAACAAATTTCAATTTTTTACAATCACTTCTATCAAATAATCTGTCGAGTCCGACGAAAAAGCGGCCGAGCCTATTTTCAAATAGAAAATCGAATTCTCACAGTAATAAAATACGTTTCACTGTATTAACACAATTTCTGCAACTTATGATCGAATATTTCGTTTATCTTGTAATTTTTTTATTATCGATACTCATCCAGACGGGATTCCTATATACTTCGACGAATAACACCTCGACCTGTATTACCAGCGGTACTTTTGCTTCTGGATTAATATTTGCGAGTAGTACAATATTAGCTACTGGTTCTAAACATCATTTCAAAACTTCAATCACATTCATTAAAACCATTGCATTACTTCGTAATCTGGAGTCGCTTTTACTATATGATATTACGTAACACAATGATGCTATTTGAAACTAATTTTTTCTGACTTTTTCCATTCGATATCAAATTGACAATTATTTCTATGACTACATCGAAGAAAACTCGCAAGATTACAGATGAAAACATTTTAATTTCTTTTTTCTCCAGTCGTGTCAATTGTACATCTTTCACAATCGAAGACTATTTAAAAATTTATATCAACAATCGTGAATTTTAACGCAAATTCTCTTCGTCGAATCGTTTTTTTTTCGCTCCTCAAATGGAACTCGTTGTGCAAATGGTGCCTAAACATTGTTCTCAATATCGTTTCGTAGATTGCAAAACGAGCTCGTAAAGCTGAGTCGTCATACACATCGTATTCGCCCTTACTTGTTTTTTTTATTTCTTTTCGCTTTTCATAATGCTATTATACTGTCGTTTCTTCTCTTTCTTTTATTCTTTTTCTCCTCGTATCGGCATTCGTACAACTGTTTTTCTCTCTTTTTTCTTTTTCTTTTTCTTTTTCTCTACTCATCATCTTATCCGTTTGTTTCAATTTCGCTGATGTTCGTTTTAATGTGCGTGGACCCACATTTCTGTTGGTGGGGAGGTATGTTACAGTCACATGTATCACTCCTTGACTCATCGGTATTTGTTTATTCATTTCGCATTCTTTGATGCTTTATTTGTCTCTATATATCTCTCCCTATACTTGGTGAAGGGGAGACAATCTGGAAATAAACGAACATCGAGAAGATACAGGGAAACCTCTAATAACCGGTATATATGGTTTGATCGGCACCAACAAGTGATCTAATAAGAATAAATAGAATGAAAAGAAAACATAGAATAGGAAATCAAATACTCTGCTTGTGAAGAAGTACTCCTCAATGGTAATTGATCTATAATAATTTAATTTAATTTCAATGATACAAAAATTTCATTTTACCATTTGAATCGATGTCTTCCTTATTACATGTGCAAATACAAATACAATTTTTATTTGTTGATAATGAAGGTTTGACTTTCACCTTGATTTCTTCCATAAAAAAAGATAAAAATAGTAAACAATAACAAAACGATTATCTAATTTCATTTTTACCTGAAGACTTTGATGCAATAACTTGATTAATTTGTTCGAAAATATTTTGTAGTTCATCAATTGAACTATCGGATATGTCAAGATATTTTTTGCTTGTCCAATCAAGTGTTATTCACGTCCAATAGTTGATAGTTTTTGTTCAACAATTAGTTGAAGTGTCGTTATAACTGTATTTAAATCAATACGAAGATTATCTAAACGTCGTTTATTTTGTTTTGTTATTTCAATATGTTCAGCCAAATGTTTGAAACAAATAAGACGTAAACAATAATGACATTCATATAATTCTTTAATTTCATCATCACATGTTATATCGGTGCATGAACCTATTTCGGGCATTTCAAAAAAATAAAATACAACTATTTATTTTTTCGATATTCGTTGACATATAGTGATTATCGCCATGGAGGAAATATTTGAAATAACTGCTCATGTCGGACACCTGTACATCACGTGTACGACAAAATGCATTAATGCAGTTTAGTAATCTTCTTATTGGTTCATTCCGAACTCAATTGGTCACGACTAATGCCATCGTACCAGGCTTTCCAATAGCAGGTGTACACAGTATAAACAAAATGTACAATACATCTGCTGTGTCTGATTTACACTCTGGTTTACATTTTGCTCAAAAAAGCAAAATGTACGGCGTACATTTTGCCAAAAAAATTACACTTTGATTCTAGCACTAGAACTTCAAAAGTTACACATGATATTAATGCCAAACATATCGTAGTTTATCTATGTGAAACAGTAAATTATGACATCTTTAGCATAATTGTATCATTTGCTAACGCGATTGCTTTCATTTGATTTTATCTTCCATCTATTATTTCAATACAAATAATTGGTTGTAGTTGTATTATAATTATAATTCTACTTCTACTGAGTAATGTTTATGTCAACTCTGACATGAATTTTTTTTTGTCTTGAAATTTATTTTAGATTTGTGTATGGATAAAACTCAGACAACTTTAGATAAAATTTGGAATAAAAGTCAAGGTGCAACTTCAACACGACATATTTCTAGTCTAGTTGATCATGAAATTGAAATGATTTTAACAGTATCATCTTCTTCATCAACAGCTTCGTCGTCAGCAACAAATCCACTTTCATCATGTACCAATTCACCTTCATCATCAACAACAATTCCATCTTCATCATCCATGACTTCATCATCATCAGCAACAAATCTATTTTCATCATGTAACAATTCACCTTCATCATCAACAACAACTCCATCTTCATCATCATCATCAATAATTTCATTACCATCATCACCTATCTTAACAGCAGAAACAGAAAATGCTCTTACCGAAAATATTAATAAAAATTCAAGTAATAAGCCAATACGTCTTTTATCTAATGATTGCACTTTATTAACAGGTAATAAAGATGTTGAGAAAAAAGATTCGAAATCAATCCGAACAAAGCATCGTGTACAGTATTTACCGAATTGGGAAAAATATCCAGAATCTAAATATAAAACATTTTTTTGATAATTTTGGAACAAAACGGGAACAATTCGTTTGCTGGTTGTATTACGAACAAAATGCTATGCGATGTCGTCTATGTGAAAAATATAATAAAAAAAACAAACACTAATGATAGGATTTATCCTTACAACATATTTTTTTTAAATAAGTTTAAATTTAATAAACTAAGTCTTGGCTTACCTTTTTGCATGTTCAGTAATAGATTTCGGAAAAGTATGAAGAATATTGTTTTATATAGGTAAACCAAATGTTTGGGCTACTTCTGGAATGACAACAATTTCGTTAGATACCATTAAGAAACATAAAGACAAAAGTGAAGTTCATAAACAGACCGAACAATTAGAACTGACTGTATCCTGTAGAGAGCAGCCGGGTTGGGTTGTAACTCAACAAAAACAATTGAATAAGCATGAGCAAGCGATACAAAATTTGATGACGGCATGCATTTATTTATGTCAGCAAGATAATTCGTTGAATAGTCTTGAACCGTTATGCATTTTATTAGAAAAATTAGGGGTTAATTTATTGCCAGCTGAAGTTTCTGGATTGAACTACAGAAACAACAAGGCTGCGCTTTGTTTCAATCAACACATCTTAAGCTATCTCCACGAGGAATTGCTTGAAAAAGTGAAAGCCAGTCCCGTAATTGGTACGTTAATTTTAAAATATCTGCTCAATTGTAATATTGCTTCTTGATCTCCCAGGCTGGATGATGGATGAATCTACATTAAGATCTACTGATAAAATATGTATAGTTTACGTGCGGTATATTGAAGATAATGAACCTAAAACATCATATTATGGTTTATTAGATTTATATGGTGATGATACTGCTAAGAACATTGTTAAAAGTCTTAATTGTCTGTGGACAAAAGATGATTTAAAGCCAACAAATTCATGCTGGTTGTCAACTGATAATGCGTCAACATTTACTGGTTAGGATCACACTATTTTGCTATATAATTTTTGCGAATAATATGAAACTCATTTTAGGTGCAAATGAAGGTGTTATAGCTAAACTACGTAATCAATTATCTATTGATTATTTAGAATTAAATACATGTGTAGCTCATTCGTTTGCTTTGGTTGGATCTCAAGCATCATATAATTCAAAAACACGAAGTATTTATTGATTCTTTTTTTACATTAAAAATTCTGAATTTGATCGCCTATTTATCGTAGATAATAAAATATCTGTTCTTTCTGAATCTATCATGAAAGTTGAGTCTCGAATAAGTAAAATCTACAACTATTTTAACAAGAGTTGCCCTCGACAATTTAAGCTTAAAAATTGGCAAAATTTCATGGAAATGCCTGAGCTCAAATTTAAGAGAATTTTCGATATTCGATGGCCATCAATTCGTGATTGTATTAGACCAATAATTGTTAATGTACAACCAGGTCTTAATATGCCAAACAGTTGTAGAATAATATTTTAGAAATTTTATTTAGGATCTCAAGCACTCTTTGCGTGTTTACAAGAAGCAATAGATGATTATAATTCAACAAATGTTGAACGTGAATGTGCAAAAGATCTGCTGAACGAAATACTAAATGATGAATTTCTCTTTTTGCTTCACATGCATCATGATCTTCATGAATCTGTGCTTGGTGAGTTTATTTATATTTTATACCTTTTATTTTGAAATTTTCTCAGTCTTGTTCAGTCTATTTCATCTTATTTAGGACCAATTACAAAACCGATGCAAAATGATCATTTATCTTACTTTAATTTAATGGAAACAATAAAAGAAAAAACAAGTATTTTGAATGGTTGGACATTTGAATCACCAACAGCAACAGATCCAGCATTAGCCGATTATCTTGAATTAACAAAAACGAATTCATTTGGTGCATTTAAAATTGTAAAAGATGATCGTGAAAAATTATCAAATAATTGTTTAGAACATATTAATCGATTATTTGAAGAACTGGATAGGCGATTTTCATCATCACCTGTTCAAGAAAACCTATCTATTCTATTTGATCCTCAATATTTGATCGAACACAAAAAAGGAAATAAGTTCAAACACATATGGACGATCTGCACTTGATTTTGTAAGAAAAAAATATCGAAATTTTCCGGGTTTTGATTTTATTGCTGTTCGCAATGAGTGGGAATCACTCAAAGCTTCATTGATCGATTACATAGATTATATTGCACTTGATTATTCACCAAAAAATGTTTTGGAAAAATTTTCTTTTACTTAAACAATCTATAAATAATCTTTATCACGATCATCACAAAAACATATTATTATTAGTTTATATTTACTTGATTTCGCCAACTATTTCTACTGAAATGTGAACGTGGACTATGTTAGTGAATTTATAGTGTGCTGTTTATTTTTTTATTTTTTTTTTATAGTTTAGCGCGGTCAATAAAGTTCAAACAATCGGTCGTTCACGTTTAATGGTTTCTACATTGGATGCAATCATGAACATTAGATTATTATTAACAGAAGATTTACGCAGGTAAGATAAAGATTATTATTTACTTTTTTATACATATAAAATTAAAATATTTTCCTTTAGTGCACGTTTACAAAAAGTCGTCGTACGATCATTCGAGTCATGGAATGATCAAGAATATCATCGACGTTTAAATCAAATGCAACTCTTAATTGATTTACCACCGGATTATGAAACAATAAAGCAAACACAATCAGTGATCAAGCGAAATTTATCTGTAAATAATCTTGCGATGAATAGTAAAAAGCCAAAAATACCAAAAGCAAAATTTATTAAATGAAAGTCTTGACTCTATATTTATTTGAGTGTTGTTGAATCTTTTTCATAGGTGCTAATAACTGTCGTACTGAAGTAGAAGCTGATGATCCATTCCAATCTAATGCTATTCAATGTTGTCATCAGTCAGAACAATTTAGCTGGATCGAGCATCATGATATTGCTCAAGATGGTTATGCAATGTATGTAGAATTAAGTTAAATATAAGTGTAGATTCTTTATGGTTTTGTTCTGATCATTATGACATGCATCAAGATGAAGATGGAAATCAAGCTGATTGATGTTTTTGCTGCTATTATATTTGAAAAATTAATATATGAACTTTTTTTGTTGTACAAAGTCTTTTTTTCTCACGTTTTTGTAACGAAACGCCTCAGATTAAGAAATAGTACGTCTATTTGTCACTTGTGTTTACTAAGTATTTATGTATTTTCTTCATGAAATGAAATGAACATTATTTTTTTTTTCTAGATTGAAAAGAATTGATTTCTGTACACTTTGTACATTTTGCTGCTAAAAATAAAATGTACACATACATGTTGCTGGTAAAACCAAAATGTACATGTACGTTTTGTTTTAGATTTCTATTTGAAACTATGCCCACACCCCACACCCTTTTTCGTATTCAACCTGTTAAATGGAATCCCGATGGTATCTCAGGCTGAGGTTTTGGGTGAAGAAAAAAATTTCTGTTTTTTGAATAAAAAGCATTCTGGCCAAGTCAGTTTGAGTTGCTGAATCCGAATATAATGTTAAAATTGAAAACTGAATTTGTTTCAAGGCTGAAACCTTAAAACTACGAGCTCAAACGCAACTTTTTCGAAGTTTTTAACCAATATGACATTCTTCCGCAACTTTTTCTTCAGTTTTGACTTTATTTTCTAAATGAGAATGAAAACCTGCATCCCTAGAGAAAGTACTGAGTTCAGGATACCCATGTACTGAGAAAGCCCTAGCAGGGTACCCAATATGGGTACTTCAAAAATTCTCAGTAATTATACTGATGTAGGTACTGCGTGTGGTTCCCATAAAAGTATGCTTACCGAACAAGTACTTGTATGGGTACTCGCATCTGTAATTTTACTGAGGAAAGCTATACAGGGTACCCTATATTTGTTGCGTTCTGTGTAGCGACTATTCATTCACCGTTTTCTTTTTCACACACGGCTCCATATAAACAACTGGGTAAGACATAAGAAATTAATCTATTTTCATACTAATTTTTTCTAGATTATTTCTTGACTATTTCTTAGTCGAGAACATGCCGATCTTGATCGTAGATTAAGAACAGACCACTCTGAAGGGGTCTGGTGGATACCTGACCAACTGAAGACGGGTTAGATCTCGGCATTGTACCTACTAAGTTTTCGGAATTGAAAAAACTAAATTGAATAAAATCGAAAAAAAAATGTAGTAAATTGCTTTGAGAGAAACAAAAATTAAAAAAAATTAAAAGTCAGGTTCGATCCTGAACATACTGAAATTTTTGAAACAGGGTACCTAGTAATACTATACAATAGTACCCAATTGAGTGTCTGATCAGTACCTTCAAGTACCCAGTTACTACACATTTTGTAGCAGAGTACTTGTCAAAGTACCACTTAGGTATCTGAAAGTACTTCCAAGTACTTTGGTACCCAAAAGTTCCTGTGACATACTGGTAACAGGGTACTTTTTCGGGTACCCTTAACTCAGCACATTCTCTAGGGATCTAACCATGTATAAATCCAATTGAATGAAGACTTCATAATGGATAAATACAGTTACAAACATGCTGAGAAAAGAGTAATTTGCTGAAAACGACTCTCGTATAGAGTACTTATAAATCTAAAATCAAGATTTTAACACTGTTTTTTGAATATTTCGAAAAGATTACCAATTTCCGCATATAAAGGCATTTAGTCAAACATTTTCGACTTATTTTTATGCTCAACTTGCAGTCAAAACTCAATTTATGCAACCAAATTTCAGTTTTTGCAAACATGAATGTGATATTCGTGATCAGCATAAAATTCTGCATCGAATGAACTGAGGCAATAAGTTTTCGACCAATATCTGAAGGGGGATTCAGGATCGAAAAATTTTTTTGGTCGAATTTTTCAAAACTGACTGAAGAAATGTGTTCCCCATAGTCAATTTGCTATGTACAAGTGGTTTTTATCAAAAAAATAAGAGGATCAAAAAATGGCCTTATCGCCACTTGTCCTTTGTAAATTTTGCTTAAAACAAAATACACCCATATTCTCAATTATCTTTTTATTTGCCAAAAAATATTTGATCGAAATCAGAAATATTTTTTATATTCTTGCCATTGTTTTGCGTCATGAAAGTTGTCGACAATCTAAACACTATAAGTAGAAGTTTCGTAGAGAGCAAAATTAATATTGATACGTTTGAAAACTAGTAAAAATATCGTGAATAAAATCCAACAGTGCATTCCTTGTAATGATAATCGTTCTATTCATATCTATTTTTCTTCCTGTCATTGACAATTGAATAAATATTCATGAAGGATTACAGATACTAACAGACCATTTCTTATTTTACAGTAAATTAGTACGGAAGTGTTGACAGGTGATAAACGATACATTTCCTTACTGTAAATATACTTGACCTTTCTTTTTATTTCGAATAATTTAATAATAAACAGCAAAGGAGATATTAGTTTTTGCCATATCCTTTTCTATAAGAGAAACAGAAAGAGAAGGAAAAGAATGTTTGTGATAATAACGATTGTTTATGTTTCTATATTATATTCTTTTTTTTTTAGTTTGAGAGTGATTTTAGCAACTGTAATTGATTGGAATGAATTAAAAATTGCAGAGAAATGAAGATTATCATACTAAGAAAAGGTTTTTTGTTTATTGTATCTATCGTATTAACAGCATGTATGAATTCAACTAGTCATAAATTAACAATGAATTCTTTATCAAAACAACATCAGAGTAAGGTTTTTTCTTTGTTTCTTGAAATTTACCCATTAAACAAGAATGAAACAAACTGAAATGATTACGATTGTTGACAGTCTATTTTTTTGCTAAATCAATATAAGTTAATAATGATTATCTATTATAGTAAAAGAAAGTAAATTTACTTCATCGAAAACTGTCAATACAATATTATCTCAAATAAGATCTTGCTCAAAGTGGATTCGTGCAGGTGAGACAATTGTAGGAAATAAATTAAATACATATCTCAATGATCTGGAAAGAATTGCAATTATTGGAATTGATACGTTGTATGTTGTTGATCGTTACAATGACAAAACTCGATTACAAATATTTCCAAATGGATCTCTTGTTGGTCATACATTGTGGAATGAATTCGATTCTATTATTCTAATCGATGAAAATGCAACTATTTACACAGCTTCTTACAATGGAAATATTCAACGTTGGTTTAAAGATGCAAGACAAGGAGACAAAATAAATTGTCAATGTAATCAATGTTCTCGTGTATGGTTCGATTCAGAAAATCAAGATTTTTATATTGTCGAACGTTTTCATTCTCGTGTCATTAAATGTAATATCCACACGAATAGAACGATAATTGTAGCTGGAATAACAAATATAGATGGATCTTCGAATCAAACACTTTCTTATCCGTATAGTTTATATGTCAATAATGCGAAGGATATATACATTAGTGATGTGAACAACCATCGAATACAGAAATGGACACAAAATGCAACACATGGCATTACGATTGCTGGACAGACAAGAAAAAAAGATCAATCGAATGGTTCTCTTTATCGACCATATGACATTATAGGTGATAACAATGGTTTTATTTACATTGCTGATATGAACAATCATAGAATTATTCGATGGAAAGAAGGAGAAACACAAGGAGAAATTCTTTGTGGTATCTCAGGTAAACAATGAAATTTGCATTTATTTTTGAACTCTTTTATTAATAATAAAATCATAGGTGAATCTGGCAATTCTACATATCATCTAGACCGGCCAAAATCACTGGCATTCGATGTTGAAGGAAATCTGTACGTTGCCGATGTTGGAAATTCACGAGTACAAAAATTTACTATTAACAATACTGGTTGTCTTTTATCAGAAAGTAAGTACCCGGCAAACAAAATTTAAGAGAAGTGTCGAAACAAGGCGTTGAAAATGGAGTGCACTATTCAGAATCAGATGGTTTTTCTCGTAATAAATTCGTATTACGAGACGAATTCTGTCTAATTAACGAGAAACATAAGCGACTAGATTATTCAATACAAAGTGTTATATCATTCTTAGATTTTCATGCATAAAGATAACTATTTAAATTAGATGGCGTTTATATTTCTGACTTTTTTTTCGTTTGATTGTTGCAGCCGAAATGTTGAAAGATCGATGGTCATTTATTCGTCAACAACTACATGCATCCAAAGTTCAACTTCAAAACAGTGTTCCTCTTGGTCTTGGCTATAATCCATTAAAAGGCTCTCCTATTTGTTACACCGATTTTTGTCAAAGAGAAGGTTTTGCTCTACCTATTTTCAAGCTTAAGTATTTTATTCCATCTAAAGGAACTTGTACCAACCATTCTACATCAGAAAATGTGAAAATTGATTGTATAACCTCGCAGAATGTCAATATCGAAACACAAATTATTAATACATTACGTGATCTAAAAGAACACATGTTGAAAACTGTTGATTTTTCAACTGATTTTAAGCGAAATTCAAGATATGTTAATGTTTCTTTCTCTTATGCTTACTCAAGAGAAATACGCTCAATCATTGATATGATCATGAAAGATAATGCAACCATACTTGTTACTTCGTTCAATATAACATCGATTCGTCTTTCGATCAATGAATCAAAATTTGAGATCTCGAATGAATTTCGTTTCGTCATTGAGAATATGCCATGCTGTGACTTTAATGAAACCGTAGAAAAGTACATTCATGAATTTATAATTGGCTATTTTGGTTATACATATATTAAAGAAGTTCAACTTGGTGGTATTATACAACAAACGATTGTTATTACACAAAGCAATCATACTAATGTAGAGCAAAATAGATTTAATACATCGTACCAAGTATGGATGAGAGATGTTGCCAAAGAACTCTTTTCAGTTCAAATGAAATTAAATCGAACGCAAACATACGATAAAATGTTAATGAATATTTCTAATAAGTATTTCACTAAAAGTAATGTTATGATATATGCTGGTAATATTTCAATAAAATCGTTTGATGATTGGTATAAGTCAGTATCAGATAACCCAGTCCTTCTGAAATTTAGTTTTTCTACTATTTTTGATTTGTTAACGAATGGCCATTTTCCTGCTGATTCATATATTTTTCAAAAAGCTGCACTGATCAAATTAGCCATTGATCGATATTTATCAAATCCAGTATATTGCTATAATCAATGTACGGATACTATACATGGAACATGTATCGAGAGTGGCTATTTCCAATTTGGCATCTGCCAATGCAAGTCGGAGTGGACAGGATTCGACTGTGCTACTCCTCTTCGTATGTAATTCTTCTTGTCACAATAGAAGTTTTATTACCTCTATATTACCTTTTCATTCTAGAACATTATATCGATACACTTCACAATAGGGTATCACCAATTTGGAAAACGAAAGCAGGAAGAAATAGTTATCCAGCGTCAATAGGTTATGGAAAAGGGAAAATGGCACCAAAAGAAACAGTTTCGCATATTTTTGATCACAATATTCATACTAAATATAGAAGTTTTGGATCAGGATCAACTAATACCATGAGTCAAAAAACTGGTCTAAATACAGGCTTTTATCTTACACTCAATGCTGGCATTTGTATTGTGAATGGATTCCAGTTTACAACTGCAACTAGTCATCCAAAACGAGATCCAATAATGGTTACACTTGAAGGAAGTAATGCTGACAAGTCTTTGTTAACACTTGGTAGCAGTTGGTCATTGATGTACAATGGATCGAGTGGACTTGAAAGCGATCCAGGTCGAGGTAAAACAGGTGTTCTTCAAATGTTCAACAATAGTCAACCTTACCGAAGCTATCGTCTGTTGGTAGTATTGAAACGAGGAGTTGAAAGCGGAGTACACTATTCGGAATTAGCATTCTATGGTCATTCATGTTTGCCAGGTAAAAACAACGAAGGAATTGGTTTACTTTTGCTTCATTTTTTTATCAAGTTTTTGCTATTGATACCTTTTAACATTTGAAATAGGTCAACACTAGTGAATCAATGACTTTTTTTTTCCTAAATATAGAAACTCATAGACGAACAGAAAATATGCTGAAGATGACGATGACACAAACGACAAGTGCATATATGACAGTCACCAATGACTATTCGCAGCCATTGATATCAACGACATCAATAAATATGAATATGAAAAATACGTTTCCTAGCCAAACGATCGAAGCAGGTAAAACAAGTTCTGTGTCATATATTAGTAGTGGGACTGGAATATCCCAGTCGTATTTCGACATCGCTTATGGATCCAACACGATGATGGTAAATATGGGACAGGGAACTTACGTTACCACTGTGAATTTCTCCGGACCAGAAGGTCACATAGGAGCATTACTCGCTCCAACCAAACCATTTAGCAAAGATATCGATTACACATTCTACTTTTTCGGTGGTCCTGGAGTCTTGCCACCCTTGATCAATAGCTTCGTTGCTGCTAATCTTCCAGCTATTGTCGCGTATGTGTCCACTAATTCACTCTCCATTGATCTCGATGATGCTATAAAATTAACCATCAAAAAACTTGATCTCACTCCACAATCTATCTATTGTAGTTATGCTGCACTATCGCTAGCTCATTATCAAGAAAACAATCTACAGTGGCACATCAATATGATTCTCAACTTAAATGGTAAGATCTTTGCTTCTATAATGTATCATGGCATGAGTATGAATTTTAATGCAACTATCGGTACCGCTTCCATGTTGATGCAAGCAACAATCAACATCAGTGAACATCAAGATTTCTCTTGTATAGTGACACGGTTGGCATTTTCCATTCAGAGTTTCAGTATCAATGGTGACTTCGTAATGCTCTTAAAAACATTCTTCTCTACATGGTACAAGCTTATTGATACACCCTACCATCTAGCAAGTACACTCAACATGAAATATAATAGCATTATCGTTGACAAATTGAACATCGCGATTAGCAATCTTATAAATACAACATTGATTCAGGATGTATTCAACATGAGATCGATGCCTAACAGAACGTTTCATGAGGATATTTATAAAATGGAACAAACTGAAACGCATTACAGTCGCTGGATGTCAACTCCAAGAATCCAGTCGAAGACCCTTTCACAGCTAAAAATTCCTGGAACTCACAATTCTGGATCGTATAGTCTAACACGAAAATTATCTCAGATCATCTATGGAAATATCAAATTTTTGTGGAGTTTAAGTGCCGATACTGCCCCAGCAAATGGTCAGCTACCATTCAGTAAAGATAAGATTTATGTTGGTCGCATCTTGTTAAACTATGTTCTTGAAACTGCACTTCGAATATCTATTTCGCAGAATCGAACCATTCGACAGCAACTCGATGATGGTATACGCTTTTTTGACTTGCGGATTTACTACGATACAGATGGATCCTTCTATATTCAGCATGGTCTTCGTGGTTCTAAGCTGAATGATGTACTCCATCAAGTTAAAAGTTTCCTCGATACTCATTCTACATCGGGTGAATTAATTTTTCTTTCTATTTCTCATACAAATTTTGGTATTGATCCTGGAATGCTTCCAGCTAAAGTGGCGACAATCATTCAAAACAATCTCAAATCCTATCTCTATATGCCTGCGGATTCCGTCGGAGTCAAAAACTTTGACTTTCAGAGCCTGAAAGATATGACTCTTTTTTCTATTACTACTACTAGGTTACACAGTACCTCACCGAAGGTCATCGTTCTCAACATCGACAACTCCGATGATTACTATTACAACGATACAGTTGTGAATACTAGAGGATTTGCAGATTCGGGAAGATGGACACTCAATTCTAATGGCGTCAATAGCATTGCAGAATTAATAAAACTCGAAGATCAAGGATTGAAGAAAAACAAGAAACCCATGTATCAAATTAGTTGGACACAGACACCGCAGATCATGGATATTATTCAAAATGTAGTGAATCATCTGAATGGAAATGCACCCACGATGTTGCTAAAACAACTAGCATTAGAAACTAATTCGGTGCTTCAAGAATTTTTGACTAATCATACAACGAGCATATTTAATCTGATCACTATGGATTGGTATGACATTAGCTCGACAGTTAATCCTATTGACGTTATCATCGGACTAAACTGATATTATGAATATTATATCGGTTGTCACGTATCATTTTATGACTTTTAAACTTTGAAGTTTTCTGTATTTTTACTCTTTTGGTTTATGTCGAGTATATTATTATAATACTCAATTATATAAATAGACAAGGAAGGATGTGAGTATAAGAAATACTATAAACTATAAATCAATTCTTCTCAGTCTTATCTTCAAGACAGTTCAAAATGAATGTATTCTGCATTCTGAATGCAAAGTATTTATACAATTGTATAATGAAAGTTGGACGGGGTGTGGGTGTTGGTTTCATTCTATTCTGCACCACCCACCCCACACCCACACCCACACCCACACCCACCCACACCCTCTTTCACCAAACTTGATTTTTCATCTATCCATGAGGGGGCCCCCCCCCCCAGGTAAAAATATGACCAGACAACAATCTCATAGGAACAGTTCGAAATTTATATGGTTAGTTCCAACTTTTAATGCTGATTCCGAATATGATATTTTCTTTCAATCACAATATGGAGTATTGTGCTTAGAAACCATCAAGTACTACTCGAAAAAGTCGAAAAATAGCGGTCTACTAGTGTTTGAGTCAATATTTGGTCATGTCGCCCACTTTTTGCAAGTCTTGAAAATAGCTGATTTTGTAGGGCGTCAAAAGTTCTAACGAATACTCTATAAGAGAAATGGGGTGATAATCGGCTTGATGAAAAATCAAATACATAATTATAATTCATGTATTATAAATGTGAATTATTTACTCATAATGTAGCTCATAGAGTATCCTTATTTAATGTTTCAACAATGAAACAGGTATCCTATGACAATCAGTTTATCAGAAAAATATAACCCGACAAAAACTAGAGTGGGTGTGGGTGTGGGTGTGAGTGTGTGAATTAAGCAGATCATCACACCCACCACACCCACACCCCACACCCACCCACACCCACACCCACACCCCACACCTACACTCACCCACACCCACACCCACACCCACAAGAGAAATAAAAAACATCACATTCACATTCACACCCCCTTGAGCATTCGAATATGCTAACATTTCTCCCGTGAACCATCATTTCTTTTTTAGAGATGTTACAGTGCCCCTTCTTTCAAGCCTTTGCTTTATGAAACGTGATTGTTCATTAGCGTTGAAGTATAAAGAAAGCAAGTGAAAAGTTTCTCCTTCCTGTTCCCACACAAGGATCGTTACATATAGAGACAATCGACTAAGCTTTCTAAGTGTTATAATGATCGATATAACTACGCCTCTACTTTTAAATGAATCCACTTCAAAGTTTGTGAAGGTTTCGAACGTATTAAAGAAATGCTTTAGTTTATAATTAATCAGTGATATCATAGCACAGTTAACCTGAGTATCCTTATGTTCAAATATATTTATGTAACTAAGTTAGATGATGCAACTCATTACCCGATAAGCAGAGTTATGACCAATTGTAGTTTTCATTAGTGGAACCGGTAGAAATCGACATCAGTCATTTTTCATTTTTCTCACTTCATAGGAACTATGCGAATTCCTTTATTAGTCATATATGATTCCTCTAACTACTCTAATAACATAAGAGTTCTTTTTTTAGGGATTTTTTACTGTTTAGTTTCAGAAATTTTTCCTCTGTTGATATCTTTTGGTGTATTATACTTATTTTTTAGTGTTACTGGTTTAGAATAAAACAAACAAAAAAAACATATTTTGTTCTTGCTATTATATTAATGAGATAATATAAATAATCTTTTTCTGTATGTGGAAACAAAATCATTATGTACATCATTGGAAATTTCTTAAATATAAATTGTTTAAAAAAAAAGAGAAAAACAAATTTTTTTGTTTTTCGGAAATTTGAATATGATAGTTTATTGGATGGTTGAAAAGGTAAAATCAGTAAATCTATTCAAATATTCTTAAATAGTTGTGCTTATCAATGTCGAAGAGCTTGTTTGATTACGATCAAATTTCTATGATGAATGAGATAGTTCAAAAATATCAATCATTGATTAACAACAAGAACAAATTCATCAATCTTTTAAATCAACTTCTTTCTTCATTCATTCTACGAATCTTTTTTTTTATATAATTATTTGAAATTGGTTTTTTTTTGTTTTGAAAAACATTTTAATAAAGTGTTTAGCATAGACATTTACTTAGAATAATTGATACATTGATTTTCCTTGTTTACAAACTCGATCGTTACTTCTCAATTTTGTGATAATCTAGTTATTTATTCGATATGATGATATCTGTTAGTTAAAAATTCGCATTAGTAAAATATTATTCTGTCTTTGAAACCTTATTACTCCTTCATAAATGGCACAGTTTTTTAAACGACCTATGTCAATGTTTGGAAGAAATTTACTATGAAGACAGTGTCATCATCCAGAAGTAATCTTCTCTATAGAAAATATCTTCCGTATTCATAATAAAGGATGTGGGTGTGACTAATAAGAAGACATGTACCGACACCCTCAAGATATTATATCAATAAGTCGATATAGATGAAAGGATCAATTTAATTAAACTTTTTAAAGATACAATCGAGTATATTTGATTGAAAAACGAAAAATAATTATATTAAAGAAAAATATTCGCTGAACGTCTGGTTTATGCATAATCGATATTAGGTTAATTTCAAATTATTATTTTCATGCAGTGTTCACATTTTCTGTTTGACCACTTGTTTTTGATTAGACAATTTCCTTCAGTAAAATGCCATAAGGCCGAATCGCGCTTTCATCAACAAAACGCCAAGCTTCACCGGTAGTGACCACTCCTGTATGCCTTGTGAACTTGCGGGGTTGCACACGACACTGAAAAACGACCTGAAATGTTGCACTCTCTTCAGTTCGTATTGGAAATGTAAATGAATCAGCATATTTGTCGGCTCCATCATTGCAATGTGTTGCTAGATAGATTCCTGGACGATCTGCCTCTTCACCCATTTGTTTGATGGCTTCATCTTTCATTATATCTCGTGCAGATTTGCTGGCTAGTAGACCTTCTTGCGTAATCCCCAGAACTGCGTTTTTATTTGTACCGTGAAAAGCAACCGGCCACTCACCTTCAGCATTGACACGACCAAGCCAAGCAATATCACCTGCATATTTATTATCCACCTTGAGTCCATGACGATACCAACCGATTGGTAAATAGTACGGTTCATTACCACGACTCTCTTGTTTCGATACGCCGGGTTTTCTGTAGTCAAAGTTGTATCGAGGATCGAGATCAGGTTTTTGTATATTGAAATACTCTATAATCGTCTTCCATTTACATTCGTATTCACATTGTTTGACATCTTTTAGAATATCGTTATCCGTAAAACCAGATTGAGCTTGAATCTGTCAATGACAGATACAGCTAGTACATACAATAATTGCTCTATTGAATATTGATCAAGCTACTTTCAACGTACTTACCAAACCAGTAGTTTATCGAATCAACTTAACCTATGAAACCTTCACTATTTGTCTTCTATACAGGATTGAGCGGAAAGCTATGACAAATATGAAAGTAAACTACATAAACTATCATTGAAATCGGAAAGCGACTAAAAACGTTTCTTCGCATGGCATCTATTTGCTTTTCATGACAAAAAAATGTCATATGACACACGTTGTAATTCAAGCTAAGAAACGGCAATATGATTTGAATAAGTGGCTTATTGCAATTTTTTGATTAAACTTTCCACTTCAATTTTGAGAGTTACTCCTTAGCAAATAAGGTTTCCCGATAGAAAAAATTTTCGTTTTCAATCGACAAAAGAGGTCATATTGATCAGAAATTTGTTTCGAAAGTACTATGCGATTGATCCTCAATATGAGTTACTTCAATGTAGTAATGCAATCTACGTCAATACTTAGCCGTTTATTCAGTCAACAATTACTGAAACTCAGAATTGAGATAGTCAGTCCGGTGTTTCCGCCATTCAACATGTAAAAGTTTTCAAACAGATCTCGAATAGCCTGAATAGTTCATGTTACTATGTTTGTTTTCTGAAATATTTCGTAAGATATGAAACTGATTTTATAATAGGATGAAAATTGATTGTGCATATCACTATTTATAGAATAGCTACAGAATCGGCCAGTGTGTCCGGCCAGCTGACCTGCCATTTACACATTAACTCTTGAGAATATGAATCGATTGCCATGAAACTTTTTGCATAGAATCGTCTCATCAAAATCGTGGTCAAGTTCGAAGATGAGAACGATTGACGAAGAAATTGCTTATTTATTGCAAAAAGGGTTATTTTTTCTTATGCTTTTCTTTGTAAACATTGACCGATCTCGGTTTTCGTAAAAACTTTTTTCCCTCATAATCAAAATAAAATGCTCAACCTATATATACCATTCTATAGAGAATTTCATCGGCAACAAAATGGTAAAAAAACAGTAAGAAACAAGAAGGCTCAGTCATCTGTTGCAAAGATACTTAAACAGAAATTTTCTTCTGCGTTTGTTCATACTTTGATTAGTCGAAAATTGAAGCTCTGTTTTCCGATCAGAGGAGTGATTTTTCTAGGTTTTATCAAACTTGAAGAAAGGTTTTTTGTGACAGAAAACTTGAAGCTGAGCTCCACTTGCCTCAAAATCCTGTTGGTTGGCCAGCAACCAATAGAAATTGGGTCCTAGGAAAACGACTTCATGGAGTAGGTTTGATGTTTAGATATGCTATCAAGACTCGTCTTAAGACACTTTGATCAAAATCAATATGTCGTCAATTATTCTTACTTTTTGAAATACACACAACACTTGGATTTAAATCTGATGTTTCAACAATTATTATCATATTAACAGGAGTTCATTTTCAGTGCTTCATTCAAAATTATTGCAGTCTTTCGGTTAGTCTTACAGATTGTTTTGACTGTTGTATGTAAGTAATACGAATATTTAATATCAGTAATATGACAATTATACTGTAAACATTCGTCTTACTTAGTCTATCTACTACTAGCAATGTTCAAGATAGAATTTTTCTCTTGGTCGTATCTGATTCTATCAGCTGAGAAGTATATAGCATGCTTTTTCACATTGTACCTGTAAATTTTTAGCCAATTTTTCTGTTTCGTCTAGAACCGGTGTTGTTAACCCAAATGTCAGATTAAGCATTTTGAGTTCATCTTTGGATTTCTCGATGGAAAACAGTCGAATATAATCCGGTTCACATTGCAGTATTCCGCATATTGCTGCACAAAAATCTAGTGCAAATTTTTCCATCGCATCACGCGATTGTGCCAATTCATCATAATCAAAATTTTTCATTTGAAATTCGAATTTAGCCGTCGGTATGATATCAGCAAGAAGTATTAGGATACTACCAAAATCGGCCATACCACAAACAGCACGTTGTGAACTATATTGAAATGGTATATCGTTTTTGGAAAAATTTAATTCACCATCAAAATGTTGAGAAAATTTGTCAAGTGCTAATATGAGCGTTTCTACTGAATTAGCACCTAATTGAAGTGGTTTATTTTTAAAATCGGTTGGTTCGCCCATCATTGTTCGATAACGTGCCACGGTAATGTATGATTGTTCATCGACATTGCCGTCTTGATAGATAATGTCCTTCGATACCGATTCTTGATCATCGGGTACAAAATATTCGGGAGCCATTTTGAATTGTGTTAATGTATCTCCGATCATCATTCGCGTAATTTTCAGTGGAGAATGTGAAGGAGCCGCTGGTAACAATACAAATTTTTTTGAATTAGTATTATCAATCGGTGGTGGTGTGACCGATTTCGTTGATTCACTACTGGATGCTTGTTCAGGCATCGGAGATGGAGTCCTTGTGCGAGACTCTGTCTTTATCTTTGTTGTTGTACTCTTACTAGAACTTCTAGTATCTCGAGGAATAGGTGGCAAGGGTGTTAGCCTCGACGATTGTAGCAGCGGTGACTCATGATCATCAAGTTCAACTAGGGGTGGTAGGTTAATGCCTGGCTTCGTATCGGCACTTCCTGAAAATATGAGAAGATATAGGATTTTAAAAGAAATTTATATAGAACTATTTCAATAATATAGGACGTATCTTTTCACTAAAACAGCATCGTTTAATATGATTGAAAAGCGTCGAAGTATGATCCAGCCACGTACTTACAAATTTTCTGTGGAAAAGATAAAACTTTCTAAAGAAGAATCTTAACATTGAAAGACATCTTTTAGAAATGAAAATGTTTTATTTTACATCCTACGAGCATTTTTTTTCTTGAGAATAGGATATGGCTAATTTCAGTAAAACTGTAGTTAAAGGTTTCGATGACAATGCTTAAAACAAAAAAGGCAAAGGTTTTGAAAAGAACTTATTACCCCTTTTCTATACAAAAAAGAACAAATGCCAATGTTTCATCACTACTAATATCTTATATGACGAAAGCTATTTAGGAGACGTTTCATGAAAAAGTCAAGGATTTCTCACTTATCGAAAAGCATGATGGAATTCAGATTTTGAACTCAATGCCATAGGAAGATAGTCTACCTCATACGATACTCGAATCCAGAATATTACGATCTGAAAGCTTGTTGTTGATTGTCTGTAGCAAATTTACTGATTACACCTCATTCGACATTACGAAGCTATCTTAATGTTAATATGTTAGCATTAAATTAGCTTTTACGAAGTAATACAAAAAGTATCACACCTCGTTTTAATATTAATGCATAACTATTAGCATTATCTAATACTTAATACTAACTTACCATTTTCAATAGATTCAACATTCTTTGGACGATAGACAAATCTTTCCAAGATTTTTTCGCGTGAATAAACGATTTTGATATCGTTGTTTCGAGTATTCATTAGATCGATAAGAATTTCAGTCACATTTTCTAAACGTAAACTGATCTGTTTATCGATCACTTTTCCTCTTTGTTGTTGTTTGCGTATTAGTTTGTTGTGACGTTTTCGTTGCTTTTCAATATGTTTGTTCAGTTTATAAAGATTTTCTAATTCTTCCATTGTTATTTAACAAATTGAATGAGTTTGTGTTTATCTAAAATAGAAATTATTGCACTGCATCTGAAAGAAGAAAACTACGACGCTATAAGAGTTATACTAAGAAATTTTTAATCATAGCTGATTGAAAGATTCAGAGAGGGAAGTGGCTATGCTTTCCTTTCCACTTCTGACCGCTTTGCGACGGCACTATTATGAAAATCTTTGAAAATGGGCAACTTTTGTAGGATTTTAGTGCACTAAGAAGGTATTGGTTGGTCGTGCGATTCACGACTCAAAAACAAAATAATTCAAATACTATCTATCCTATGAGCAAGCAATCACTTTGAAGTCGCATTTTTCTCTCTTGTTCTGCACTTTATGTTTTTAGCAATAAGACAATAAAAGAAACACGTACTTGAATTTTTTTTGCTAGTGAATCTAAAAGTGCAAGTATATGACTTGAATAGTCGTTTTGCTATTCAAATATTGACATATAACAAATTTATGCGCACGCCTTTTTTGAGATTCTGTTCAGTTGAAATTGTAGGAAGTAACTTAAACTCAAATGAAGTTTCAATTCGTTGTGATCAACGTTTTTTAAATAAGTTTAACCGATGGACACGGGCCAAGCATTTTTGAAAGTATTAGATTAGTTATAACCTTCCTATAGACCCAACGAGTTCAAACCAAATTAGAATCAAGACGTTTGAAGCCCAAGAAGGTTTACTAGAAAATCCAAGAATATGCTAATGGTTTCTTTTAAATTCAATTTATTATTTTTGACGTTCAAACGCCGGATTTTCGTCATTCCAATCGCATTCTCAGCCGATTCTATATCTCTGTCCTACCAAGCGATTCGATGTTATTGGTCGAGAAACACTCTGGATAGATGACTCGTGAAACAAAAGATGATAATAGTGAAATCGACTGTTTTCATCTGCTTCTCTTCTTCAATCAATTCGATTTCGAAACACCAGAATACGTTAAAATCTACTTTTTAAATATGTCGAACGAATCATCCTAAAATTTTATCCTACCGTGAGTAAACACATGTCTTGAATCTATCGAGAATGTTGGTGATTGAAGATAAGAAACTTGCGTTGAGAAGTACTGACAAAGTGTAAAAAATAAAATTATATACTCCGTAGTTTTAGAGCCCCTTTTTTTGAAGTACGACAACTGGCCTTGTAAAAAATCCATGTAGAAACACTATTGAGTGTGGGTGGGGTGTGGATGTGGGATGTCTGGGTGCCGGTGTGGACGGGTGTGGTGTGGACGTGGGTGTGTATCGTGTGGGCGTGGGTGTGTATCGTGTGGGCGTGGGTGTGTATCGTGTGGGCGTGGGTGTGTATCGTGTGGGCGTGGGTGTGGTTATAGATAGTGTGGGAGTGTGTGTGCCTCCTTCTCAGCGTAAAATGGCATCCAACAGTCACATCCACATCCACAAGCATTACCTTATTTACCAATTAAAACCCACTAAATCTCTGGTTTTTATATCGTTAAATAAGCAATAAATAACAGTATTTAACATAGCTAAAATGCATGATTAATCAGTTTATTGTTGTGAAATAGTAGCTCATAAAATAGGCAATTTTGCATAATTTTGCGTACTTTGCATAATCTTGTATCAATCAAATCCGTAATAAGTGATATCAGTGATCTCATATAATGATGTACTTATACTACTAACTTAGTACTACATGGATATATACCGGATGTAACAAAAGTTTTGCGATATTTTTTATTTCGTATATGGTTCGACTTGACAAAATGGTAAAATCTTGCTCTATCTTTTAAAAGATATACCGAGGTGACCGATCAATTCGTTGCAAAACAATTCGTCGCACATGTATTGTAGAGAATATATTGATTGAATTAAGTAATTTAGTTTAGAATGTTATACAATTAATTGCCTTCAGAAAAATTTTTCTTTAGACTCTTACAAATCTTTCTTCCGAATACAATAGTTTTTTCAAAAATAAAATAGAGATATCAATTTAAAGCCTATTTTAAAATGTAATTAAAAAATTGAAATTTGATTTTAAATAAAATTCTATGTCGACAATTTAGAAATAAAGTTCCTTGTTTTTTCATTAAAATTTATTTTTCCAGTAAATAAAAAGCTATAACTCTTTTTAATCTAGATTGGTAAAATTTTTTTTCAATTTTATATTTTTGTTGTAATTTTCAGCTTCTTTTTAAATAAAAAGTTAAATTTGAATTGAAAATAATGAACTCTATTTTTAATTTGTTTACATAGAATTTTATTTAAAATCATACTTCAATTTTTTTAAATTAATTTTTAAAATAGGCTTTGAATTGGTATCTCTATTTTATTTTTGAAAAAACTATCTTATTCTAAAGAAAGATTCCTAAGAGTCTAAAGAAAAATTTTTCTGAAGGCAATTAATTGCATAACATTCTAAACTAAATTACTTAATTCAATCACTGTATTCTCTACAATACATATGCGACGAATTGATTGCGATGAATTGCCGTTCGACGAATTGTACTAGTGCCATGCACCCAGAAAAGCTCTATAAGATTTGTATCAACAAATTCCTATTGACTTGCTCTGATAATTCTTCCCATATTCAAGAAGAAAAGGCTACACGATAAAACTACTTCCCATCGTAGTAGAAATATTCGGAAGACTTTTTTTTGTTTTGCATATATCCCGATTTGAGAAAATGAAAAAATCTTAATTTTTCTTTCAAAAGATGCACCACGATAAGCTCTACACAAACTGTAGAAACAAATCCCTACTGGTTTTTCCTGATGATTTTTCCCATACTCCAAAATGAAAAAGCTAAATGTTAATACTACTTCTCATCGTATTGCACGTAAAAAAGTTTTTCGAAGACCGTTTTCTGTTTTGCAACAGAAATTTGTTTATACAGCTTTTCACGAATCATCTTTTAACGGAAAAATTAGGATGGTATCATTTCTTCAAGTCGAGATATATGTAAACAAGTCTTCCAAACATTTTTATCACGATGGGAAGGAGCACTATAGTGTCATCTTTTCATTTTTAGTATGGGAAGAACCGTCGGAACAGGTTAATATGACTTTGTTTATACAACTTTTGTAGAGCTTTTCTCAGTGCATCTTTTAAAAAATAACACAAGATTTTATCATTTTGTTAAGTCGAACTATATGCGAAATAAAAAATGTCGCAAAACGTTTGTCACACCGGATATATAATGCGAATTAGGCTGATTCATTTCGTAAAAACGTCGGCACTTCCAAATGATGAAAATGTCAGAAATTAGGTTCTCATTCATTCATTGATTTTCTTCCCCTTGTCCTTCCGGGTCAGAGTTTAAGCCCGTTCAGTAGTTGTTTCCACCGGTTTCGATCTTTCGCGGCTTGTTGTACCTCGAACCATTGAAGACTCAGCTGCTCCTGGCTGAGTTTTTCGATGTATTTGCGCCAACTCGTTCTTGTTCTGCGAATTGGTCTTTTTCCTGTTGGCACAGCTCGGAATATTTCGTACGGTAAACGTTTTTGTGGCATTCTTAGAGCGTGTTCTATCCATAGTAGTTACGAACGTTCGATGTGAAGAAGAAGTGGCTCGGTTTGTAGAGATTCACGTATGCTTGAGCTTCTGATTTTGTCTCGAAGTGTCAAGCCAGATACTCTACATAAAAATCGCTTCTCAGCCGATTGTATTCGAGAGTGAATTTTCTCTGTTAACATCCATTGTTCATGATCATATATGAGTGTGAATCGATGCACCGATTTGAAAATTACAAGCTTTGTCTTTTTACTTAGTTCTGCCTTTGTCACGATTGATCGGTATAATGAGCGTAAAGCACCACTAGCCGCATCGATTCGT